GCAAGGGGGAGATAGCGCTGGCGAACCACCACAAAGTAGCATCCATCTTCCTTGGCTGGTAAGATCATGACGAACAGAGGGCTTGGTCTGTCGTTGGTGAGGTCCATCTGAGCAAGCTGGTCGATCCAGGCATCGTCGTCCTCGGGAGACTTGGGTGCCATGAGGAGGGACTTTTTCTTTTCCTCCACAGGCTTTGGAGTGGAAGCAACCAAAGACTTTTTGATGATTGTGGTCCACTCAAAGGTCAGGGGACCGTCATCATCATCGTCGTCACCGGACGACTCGCTATCACTCAGCACTTCTAGGGCCTTGGCCAGTGGCTTCTTGGGTTCTGCGTCCTCCGCCTTCTTGGCCTGGGCGCCCGTGACGATGACGACAAGAAGGAATCGTAGGAGTGTGAGAAAACCGTGGAAGACGCAATGGAGGAAGATGACGATGATGAATGGGTCAATAGCGATGGGGCAAATACGCATGATGAGGCCATGGTCAACAACACTCCACCGTTGACTTCTAACAACCCTACGGCAACACACGACTCAGCAGGTACGGGGATCCTTATGGAGCCCTCAGAAACAACCCCTCCTCGCGTTCAACGTCCACCAACAATTGCAGAACGGATTTCTAACCTCATTCAGGTGAACATGGAAGGGGTACCAGGCAAGTGTCACATCTTTGAGACTACTTTCTCTGTGGACTATCAAGGATCGGATTCAGGAACTGTGGCGGATGCGCTCTTGTCGACAGTTCTGAATTCCATAAAGGAAGCCATTAACAATTCCCCTCATGAATTGAAGATCCTTCCGATCTCTGATACCACATATAAACAACAGAATCTTTGGATTCGAAACTCAGTAGATCTACGTAATCGCATTCCGACTTATCGTGCCTTGTCAACTTACTGTGATATGGAATATGGTAACTGTCCTTACGCGGCAACCAACAGCAAGCCGGGCGAGAAGAAAGTACACACACGCCTACGCGTCGGCTTTTCTTCTGAGGCCTCTGTCGAGGCCGTCCAAGACTACCTTAACACTGGACTACGTCAATTGGGTAGAGGCGCCGGGTGATACCCTTCTCCGTTGCAGTATGGAGAAATTGTGAAGATCGGATCAGTGATTGGAAGTCGGCGCAACAAGGATTGCTGAGTGTCAAGGCCTACGGTCCGGTGAAGGATGCGATCCTGACCTTGATCAGTAAGTTACGGGATTACTACATTTTGACGGAGGTTCTTTATCCGGACATCGACTTCACGGGGATGTTCAAGTTTGCCATTACACGGTTGTACGGTTCCTGCACCCTGTTCAAACTGCTCTTGTCTATCAAGGCCACTCCGGCCCAGGCTGATCAAGCTTCCACAGCTGCCAAAGACAAATCCTCTACAGCAACTGCAACTGACGACGATTCATCAGACGAGGAGGACCATGAAACTCAGGAGGGAGAGGGTTCTCTATCCGGAGCATTCACAAAGGTGACAAAGAAGAAGGTGAAGAAGAAGAAGAAGAAGAAGAAGTCGCCCCTTTCCGATACCCTCGAGAATCATTTTCTCAAAGATCTGTCCCCAGTACAACGCAAACTGGCTGAAGCCACGAACCGCAAACTGCAGAACGATATTGACCGTCATAAAGCAGGTCCACTCTTCTTGATGATCCTTCCTGGAGAAATGGAAGGCTCTTATATCTTTGTATGTCGCAAGAAATACAATCAGTTGGCTCGAAACGTGTTGAAAGGAGTTCCGTTCTTGATTAATCACCTGTGCGAACTTACCGGCACTCAAGCTGAGCAAGTCTTGGGTAAATGGATTCCCAAATCAGAAATCCAGGCGACGCGTCGTAAGTGTTTGGTATGGTGCACCAACACACTACGCGCTGGAGTTTTTGGATGGTGTGATTGAGGACACCACCAACGTTTACCAAGGTCAACTCTTGATTGACATGGATATGGCAAATGCCAAGGATATCGACAATGGACAAACGGTCACTGGGATGCTTGATGAAATGCAGGAACGTGAACAACAACTGGAGGATGCCTTTGTGGAAATTGAAGCTCATGACAACGCCCTGGCGGCTAAAGATCAAGCCCTGGCCCAGCAGAAGGCCGCGACTGCGGCTCTCCAAGCCCAACTTGAAGCCCTTCAACGTCAAACAGCTCACCACTTGGCAATCGCCTCGCAACCACCTACTCAAAACAATGAGGTCTCTCCAGATCGGTCCGAATTTACTACGCCACCAAAAAAGAGGAAAAGCAAGGATTCTGCCACGGTTAAGAGAAGCGTTGACAGGTCTACGGCTGGTCTTAAGCAGCCCACTAAGTCAACTCGCACCAGCACGTCCGTTCACTTTCAGCAACAAAAGCAGCGTTCTTGGAAAAAGTCTCAGGTTCATGTGGACACAACTCAGATGGAGGGCGATACTACTACAGCCGTGTCCCAGGACGAGAGCCTCTCATCTCTGACAGCGGCATCTCCGGGAGGAGTACACCCGTTCTTCCTTCCTTCTCCATCTCGCAAGTCCGGTACCAGCGGATCTGCTAAGTTGCCTTCATCGGTCGGCCGCGGAGCACCTCGCTCCGCGGCAGGGCCGTGAGAGGCCCCAGGTCGTCTGCCGCTAGGTCACGGCGTGCAGGCAGAAGATCTCAAATTAGTGGACCGTCAAGTGTTGTTTCCCACGCTTCACTTGATGAATATTTACGTTCTCTTAAATTCTGCATTTCCACTTGTCGGTGACCCTGGTTTTCTCAAAGCCGATGATGGCACTTGCTCTATCGAGGAAGAACTTGTCTGACGTGCTGCTCATACTGGCGCTGTGTTCCGTCACAACAACCAGAAATTTTGGGTTATGCTCCATGCCGTCACTCATGAAACCGATGCCTACAATCACGTTCGTCAATTTGCTCCAACTTTGAATGGCCGAGATGCATACTTTGCTCTTTTTGCACAGTATCGTGGAAGGGGGCACTTCACCAATGAACGCCAAGCTGCTGTCCGTGTCCTTGCAACACTTCACTGGTAAAGCTCGGGGCTTCACTTGGAACACTATTATCAGTCGCCTTATTGGAGCCTTCAACGACCTCAAGTTTAACGGTGATCCACGCTCTGATGCAAATAAGGTTGACGTACTTCTCAAGAAAACTGTTGGAGATTCCTCACTTTCCAATGGAAGATCACATATGACTGGAGATGCCGTTCTCCGCTCCAATTTCCAAGGTGCCATCGATTATTTAACAGCACAAGTTTTAGCTGCAGGTAACAACAACACCCAGCGCCACAATCAACAACTTGCTGCTTTCACACAAGGTGGTGGTGGCGGACGTGGTGGTGATGGGAGAAGTGGAAGCCGTGGCCGAGGAAATGGTGCCTCAAACCGTCTGCAATCAAATGTTCCGGATTGCTTTAGCCGCAATGGTATCCTACTAAATGATGGAGGTTATTCAAATCAAATCTGGAGAGAGGAGTTTACACAAGAAGAAAGGAATATTTGTCTAGAGATGCGTCGCAATCGCCGCAACGGTGGTGGTGGTCGTGGCGGAAGAGGCCGCGAAGGCCGTGGTGGTCGTGGTCGCGGTCGTGGTATCAGCGCTGTCCATGATGGACGAACTGATCAAGAAGAAACAAAAGAAGAAGATAATACTGATGGGCATGGGGCAGGTGTAGGAATGAGTCGTCACCGCCGCAACAATGGTGGCCGCGATTGACTATCTATATATAACTGAATCATTAATTGGTTTTTATGCTACTTCTAGAGTATCCAACTGCCGGTGTAATACGGCTGTAGAGGCCAGGAACTATGCTGCTTTTAGTCAGATAAGTTTGAACCACGTTGAGGCATTTTTCAAGAAAAAATTTGCTCTAGTCGATCATGTCAGGGGACAAATCGGCGCTCCCACTGTTGGTGGGGGAGTACAAACAAGATGCAAGGATTTCTCCTGGGATACAGAGGAATTTTGTGGGTACCTTTTCCAAGGAAAGAATTGAATGCAATTCTCTCAAGTCATCTGTCAATGGGCAGATTGGCGCTCCCACTCTGTTGGTGGGGATTTGGAAAGGTAGACCAAGAAAATCGGTCTGCTGTATCTTTTCCAGAGAAAGAAACAAGACAAATATGCTGTACAACATGGAGGAAATGCAAGCATTGGGGTTGTCCTTCACCAGGTCAACCGTCAATAGGGTGGTAGAATTCGAGCGGGTTGTTGCCTCCAGACCTTCCTGAGCGTGCTCAGGTGCAGTCCTTGTCGATTTCAAAGCCGTCTCTTGTGATTTTGCTTCATTCGAGCCCATGGTTGTTGGCCACTTCTGATGGGCAGCGCAGACATCATAAAATAGGATTGTTGTTGTGTGTAAATAGTTGAAAATTTTGTTCTGGGTCCAACCTTGTTTTGTGGACCATCCAATTGAGAATCTGTCCAAAGAATGATCAATGGTTGGTGGAAACGCCGTTGTCAAAGCATGCCAAACAATTTCAACAAATTCCATGGGGTCATTGCTTGGATTGAGTTTCTTGGGAGAGGCAACAAGCGGCTGTCCTTTCAGTGCGCCATCCTCGGCGATTTTGGAAGGAGGGGGTTGCTTGTGTTGGCTCTTGGGAGGTATCAAAGCATGCCAAACGGTTTCAAACAGTTCCATGGGGTCATCGCTTGGATCATCCTTTACCAAGTCAACCGTCAGTTGGGTGGTCGAATTTGATCGGGTTTTTTCCTCCAGGCCTCCCTGACCTTGATCAGTTGCAGCCTTTGTCAAGTTCAGAGCCATCTCATCTGATTGATCATCATCAGAGCCCATGGTTGAAGTCCTCAATCAAGCACTTTTAAAGAACAGCAAAACCGGTGTCGCTACACGGTCATTGCGTAGATAAAGTACTAGAGAAGATGACTTTTTGTTTTTGCAAAATGCGTGATTTTTGTTTTTTGATTTTTGAAACTGAATTTTATGGCCACGATTGACTAGCAACCTCAACTGTTGGATCCCTCACAAGCATTCGCCCAAATTCTCGTATGGTATCGGTGCTATCATCCACAAACACTCTTACCAACCGATGTGAACTGGACTCGCACGCAGATACATGTGCTTTTGATCCTGATGGATGTTGCGTCCTTTTGACGTCCTCTCAGTCAATCAATGTCACCGGTTTTCACAATGGTTTAAAAATCCACAATGTTTGAGTTGGAAATGTCTGTCTTGCCTATGACTGCCCATTTGATCATCAAATCTACTGTCTGCATTTCTGTGAAGTGCTTCTGATCCCTGGTCTAGGATCGCATCTACTCTGTGTCGATCAACTGCGTGCCAACAGAGTAGTGGTAAATGGCGTGCCGTTGATTCGATTACGGCCTGAACAACAAAACAGAGAAGCTCATGCTATTTTGACATCGGGTCTAAGGATCCCACTACTATTTGACAAACCAATTTCCTACTTTACATGTTACCAACCTACAGATGAAGAGGTCAGCGATATAATGGAGTTTCAACCTATTTGGATGACTGCAGACATTCCTTGGCAGCCTTATGATCCTGACTCTCGGCTCCAAGAAGAAGCTCTGCAACAACAGATCAATGCTGACTATCAAGCACCGTATCACCAACTCGCATCTTTCACTCGACTTGATTCAACGCTCCCAACTGCTGCTTGCCTTGACCGTTTACCGCAAGTTTTAGGGGACAGCAACAATGTCATATGTGGCGGACACAGTTTGACAATTCGATCAATGAAAACTTCCGGAAAATCCTACCTCATCAAGCCGGATCAACTTGCTCGTCGATGGAGAACCAGTATTGAATGTGCTCGTCGCACCCTGGAGAAGACAACCCAACGTGCCGTTCATGATTGGTCGGTTGTTCAAGGGTCTTGCCGTTTCCGCCCTGTACAATATCAGTTGGAGTATCCGAGATTGAAAACAAATGTCTATGTTGATGTTAAGTTTGGACCCTGTAAGTCAGCTGAAGGAAACACTTGCGTCGCGGTCTATGCTACACCAGTACAGTGGGCTCGTGCTTATCCGTTGAACAAAGAATCAGATGTTCACACAAGCCTCACACAACTATTCCATCAGTTCAGTTTTCCCCAATGTCTCATACCTGATGATGCCAAATCACTGACTCAAGGGAAATTCCGAGAAGTCGCTAACAAAGGACAAGTGCCGATTCATCCTATCAAGCCTCATCATCCTAATCAAGCACTGACAGAAGACACAATTTGGGAAGGAAGTCGACTTTACCGTCGATTTATGCATGCAAGGAATATCCCTATTGCGTTCTGGGATCGAGTTTTCATGTATGCTTTTGAGATTCGCAGTCACATGGCACTGGGACTTGCAATACAAGAAGGAGAATGTGGAGCCACAATCGTTTCTGGCAACACTAAAGATATCTCTCACCTGGTTGATTTTGCTATTTGGGATTGGTGTTGGTGCCTTTTACCTAATCGCTCATCTAAGGATGGGAAACAACTATGTCGTTGGCTTGGTCCAAGTTTTACTATTGGAGCAGCTCTTTGTTTTGCTGTTGCTATTGCAAATGGACAAGTGCTACAACGATTGTCAGTGATTTCTTTATCAGCCGAAGAACGAAACAGTGAACCAATGGAAAAGAAGAAGAAAGAATTTATGGAAGATCTGAAGAAGAATCTGAAGAAGAAGTCTGATGGAGTTTCTATCTCTGAAGAAGAACTTGATCGCATTCCGCATAAATACAGCATGCCGATCTCTGCAATCGAAGATGGTGGTTACCCGCAGTATGCACAATATGAAGATCACGCACAAGAAGATCCTCGCCACAAGATTGAAGATGATTTTGAAGAGCCGCCAGATCAAGAATCAGATCCTGTTGAGTTCGACAAATATGTCTCTGCAAAAGTATCGTTTAATGCAGAAGGAGTTGAGACTTTCGGAGTTGTTCAAGGTCGGAAGCGTGACTCATCTGGAAAATTGATTGGTCACTACCATGAGAATCCACACCTTGACACATCTATCTATCAAGTGGAGTTCGAGGATGGAAAAGTGGAAAGCTTCTATGCAAATCAGATTATTGAAGGGATAATGATGAATGTCGATGATGAAGGTAATACAATGTACCGGATTCGCGAATTTATTGATCATCAACGTGATGGACGAGCAGTTAGAGGGGACGATGGATGGTATACTACCTCCAACGGTCTCAAGCGTCCACAAAAGACAACTAAAGGATGGAAATTATTAGCTGAAATGAAAGGTGGAGAAACCGAATGGCTTGATCTATCAGTAGCAAAAGAAGCGTTTCCTATCAAGATCGCTGAATATGCTGTTGCAAACAAGCTTGTGTCAGAGCCTGCCTTTGCGTGGTGGGTTCCCTACACTTTGAGAAAGCTTGATCGAGTTTTGAAAGCTGTTAAGCGCCGTGCTGTGAAAAGACAGAAGCCAGAAAAGTTTGGTATTGAAGTGCCTGGTCCTGGTCCGAAAGGCGTTGCACGTGCGTATGAACTTGATGCTCAGAATGGTACC